AGACAAAATCCATCGTGCAGTTCCTCACAGTATCCCTGCCCAATTCTACACCACAATCAAATTTTTTCTCACCCCAAGACAGTGACAGATCTCCAGCTGCATTTGTGGTTGTCAGTGTCAGAGCAAGGTGATAAACACCACCTCAGCCACTGGAAGAGGACGACGTCAGAAAGGATCACGATCAAACCATTAGCTTTATCAGCTATCTGTTGTCTCTTCATATGCAGAGAGCTGTCATACAATCCCACTGGTGCAGCAGAGCAGGTGAGCACTTCTCAACCATGTTTTTGCTCATGCACGTAGTTCAAATTGCTGCCAGAAAGTTTGGAGTGACCCAGGAGAAATGACACTGGAGTAGAGCAGACAGCTCTCCTAGAAACCATAGTACTGACTGAGCTTTAGAAGCAGCAGTTACTGACACCCTTACACGAAGGAGTAGCAGCAACCTAAAACTCAGCCATGCCTACAGCTTTTGCCTCATTTTCTGTGAGAGGTCTTAATGTAAGACATAGAAAAATACCTGCTTTCCCCTTCAAGTTTGTAAAATCTGTGGTTGTCTAAGCAGAAGCAGGCAAGTGTAATTGTGGCTTCCTTTAGAGCTGTTACAGGAATGCTAACAACTATTCTTTGAAGACATGTACTCCTGCATCCCAGAAAAGCCAACAAACTTTTGTCAAACCTTGGAGCAGGTTCCACAGAGGCTGTAGAACCTCCATCTTTGGAGACATTCGCCATGCGACTGTTGAAGGGCAACCCGTCATAGCTCTGAAGTGGCACTGCTGTAAGCAAAAGATTGGTCCCTCCCAACCCTAATTATGTTATAATTGTTTGAAACCTGATACACTTAACTTGTGTACTTACACACTAGATTTGCTCCTACCCTACAGACGTGGGCCAGTCCTATTCTCAAACGTCAGAAGAGAACAACTCACAGAGACATAAGGCAATCTCTCTCAGCATTCAGCCTCTCCTTGAAGTTCCAGAGAGTGCTGGAGAAATTCTTCCAAAAGAAAATTAAAACCTGTCAAAAATTATAATAAAGAATTTGAAGCTTTTATAAGCACTGCCTTCAATATCTTCAGTATTTCTAGCTTAATGGGGTCCAGTTCAGCCCAGATCAAATTAGCAATCAACTGCCAGAGTATCTGTCTAATTAACAGTCACTGTAAATCTTTTCAATCAGTAGAGAAATTCTGGCACCGCACTAGTACCATTAATATTAACACTTATTGTGCCCCTCCTCCACTTTACTATTTGCTCTAGAACACCCCCAAATTATCTAATAAACTTCTTTTTCTTATTTTATGCTAAAGAACTGATTGCTTTATTTACCATAATGACTGAGAACAAGCTGGCTTTAGCTACCCGAAACATGAGGCACTGTTGGAAGATTACCAGGTTTTAATATATGTTAATTTCATGGGCAGCAAGATAAATACATGATCACTTGCTAATCATATTTTCAAGACTAGAAATCTTCATTCTATTCAGGAAATATGATGTTCCATTAAGCTGTAGCAGAGAAAAGCCACCGAAAAAAAAAATCTATTAGATGAAGGTGCTGAGTTAAACTACTAGTTCTAAGCCCCTGAAGCTGCACAGGACAGTGCTATCACCCCTACATAGTAACAACTGTCACCTTCGGATGGTGATCACGAATCCAATTCCTCTGTTTCTAAATGTATTACAGTCAACTTCCACCACCTGGCAGTAGAGATACAGCATAATCATCGAGTCCTCAACATTAATTTCCGCAAAGGTTTAATCTAATCCTAATCATTTATGTTAAGATTAATTTGCTTCACCAAAGCAAGAAGAAGAAATTCCTATAATGAAGACAAGGTATCACTTTCTCATAGGGATTCAGTGTATTTAACTCACCTTCGAAGTACTAACATAGCCACATACAACGGAAAAAGGTTCACAATCACAGAACTGCCTATTGATCAATTCATTTTGTACTGATGTACTGATCATTCAGTACATTTACTGCAATTAAAAAGCGCTGTATTGTAGAACACATCACACAGTCCAGACCACCACAACACACTGTAAAAACTGCTTTATTGTTTGCAGTTAACATGTTACAATTAAATTATGATTCCAAGCATTAAGCCAGCTGCTTACAGTAAGTATAAGCTGCCATCACAGTCACATGGAATTGGACGAAGAGATGCTAGTCGCTGAGGCATCTTGAACTGGAATCATTTCTGCTTCTTGGGCATTGAAGTGACAAGCAGCTGGTAAACAACATAGGCTGTTCCTGAATTAAGAGACAGAATATAAGGTATTTTCAAAATGGTAAACAGAATTCCTTTCAACTCAGCTTCCCTTTCCCAGTTTGTTTCAGGAGAAATATTGACAACAAGCAGCTGCAATTCAGACACAACACATTTCCATAACTACATCTCAACGATTTTTTTTTTTACAATTCATGTTTTAGAGAAAAAAAAAAATCCTTAAATACCTCTCCATAGACTGCATGAAAATAAACAGGAAAAAAAAGGGGGAGAGGTATGTTTGTGGAACCTACAGATGATCATAAAGTAATAGTTACTCATTCTTAAAAGTAACTGAACTGAAAATCCATTAGATCAACATATTTAAGTTAGAGGCTATTACAAAACTATGTAACAAGCAACATAAAGGTTAAATATATACATTACCATAAAACTTGGATATATTCTACTAGTTTTCACAGCGTGTGAAGCCTCAGCACATGAAATTATCATCTAGCACTAAAAAGTCAGGCTAGTGAGAAAACATGTATGTATGTGTTACATTTTAGTCCTTTTCAGAATAACCTAAGTAGTTCAAGTTTTCTCTACCATCATACATGAATTCTGAAGGAGTAGTCAGCCCATAGTTCTATTAGGGGGAAAAAAAAGCCATCTGAAAAGCTAAACTTGAGAAAGTACCAATTTATAGTATGTCAATTCCTGCCCCCCCCC